ATGTTCAGGAGTAGTTGGCCAACACTATTATTATTATTTATTGGGTGTGTATTTTGTTTTGGTATTTTTGTCTTACTGGTTTTTGTGTTTTAACATATTTTTTTCAGAGAGGGGACATGAAAAAGTTGGGTGGGTAGGAGGTTGAGGGAGAATCTGGGAGGAATTGGAGGAAGGGAAAGAAAATGATCACAATGTTATATAATAATTTTTAACTAAAATAACAAATTAAAAACTCATAGAAGATCTGGACGGTGCTGGCACATGCTTTTAATCCTAGCACTCAAGAGGCGGAACGAGACAGATCTCTATGAGTTCAAGGCCAGCCTGGTCTACAAGAGCTAGTTCCAGGACAGGCACCCAAACAACAGAGAAACCCTGTCTCAAACAAACGAAAGAACAAAAAACCACAGAAGAAAACTTCCCCTAATCTAAGGAAAGAGATAATTATCAAGATCCAAGAGGCATACCAAATAGACAGGAACCAGGAAACTCCACATGTCATATAATAAACAAAACACTAAACATACAGACAAAAAATATTGAAAGCAACAAGAAAGAAGGAGCAACTCATATACAACGACAGGGTCATTAGAATCTTGGCAGGCTTTTTATTAGAGCCCATAAAATCTAGAAAGAATCAGACCAATGTTCAACGAATTATAAAAGACCACAGATGCCAGTCTAGCACAAATGAATTAAAGAAGAAAGGAAAATCTTCCATGACAAAACAAAATTTAAGGAATTTTAACTACTAAGCTGGCTTTAGGGAGGATTCTGGAAGGAACACTTAGGTCTGAAAAGAATGTTAAACATACAGAAGAACGGACAAGGAACAAATCAATTCCAGAACACTGAATCAAGAGAGACCTACTAGAACTCTACAAAAGCCACCAAATGACAGGAATTAGTAGTACACACTGTTGAACAATAGCTCATAATAGTAATAGTCTCAACTCCCAATGGACACAGACACCATTGCTGAAGTAAAGACAAAAATTGAAGAAAAAAATTCTTTACCAGATGTATATCTGACAGAGGTTTACTATCTAGAATATACAAAGAACTAAAAACACTACACCCAGAAAACAACCCAATTAAAAAATGGGGCATAGACCTAAATGGGAATCTCAAAAGATGGAACACAAACAGCTGAGAAACAATATTCAACATCCTTAGTCATTGGGAAAAATGCAAATAGAACTACTTTGAGATTTCATCTTACCCCAGTCAGAATTGCTAACACCACCACCACCACCATCCCACAAATGATGATGAATCCTAGCATGGATGTAGGAAGGGAACACATTTATTCATTGCTGGTGGGAATGAAAACTATTGCAATGACTATGGAAATCAGTGTGGATTTCAATCAAGTGAAAAGAAGACCCACCATATAATTCAGCCAGACCCAAAGACTCCATATCCTAGTCTAGAGATAACATCCATGTTCATCACTTAAGTGTTATCAACACAAAATGATCCTTGTATAAGAGATGTACAGATTTAGATTTAGACATGCCATAATGCCACGATGTGTGTGTGTGTGTGTATGTATGTATGTAGGTATGGTGTATGTATGTTTGCCTATTTGCATTGCAAACATTATGCTCTACATTATACACACATATAACTTTATTTGTCAATCTGTAAATAAATATAAACAAGAAGCCAAGGTCAAAGCAAACGAGCCCGGGCAGATGAAGGAGATGGGCTACACTACAATTTCCAACAAAACTGGGAGTAGCTTTGTCCTTTTTCTTCAGTGGTCTTCATAAGAACACAGTGCAGTCTCAACTAGAAATGGGCGTTCCTTGCTGGGAAGCCCTCCGCCTCTGGACACAGAAAAGGTCTTTGCAGTATTAAGAAATGTGGAAACGCCTCACCTTTTTATCCCTAAAATTTCTTATTCTGTGCCCCGAATCCCAAATCATTCTCCATAGCAAGGGAAGGGGAAACCAGGGAATTAAAACTAGCTCTGCCTGGAGAGCCTCCTTCCCTACGATGAAGACCAGGATGAAAGGCAGCTTGCAATAGACTTCCACATAACAGTCCATCACGGGAAGTCAGGGCAGGAACCCAAGCAGAGCCTATGGAGGAGTGTGCTAACTGATTTGCTCCATATGGCTTGCTCAGCTTTCTTTTTCTCCCTTCTTTTAAAATAGTTTATTTAGTTATTTTACACCCCTGCTGAAGTTTCCCCTCCCTCCTCTCCTCCGAGTCCCTCTTCCCAATCCTGCCTCTGTTCCCACCCCCAATCCACTCCTCCTCTGTAGTAGTGGGAGCGGCAGGGCTGCTTCCCGCCACCCGGCTAGCTTTACCCGAATAATTACACGGAAACTGTATTCTTTTAAACACTGCTTGGCCCATTAGTTTCAGCCTCATATTGGCTAGCTCTTACATATTGATCTAACCCATTTCTAATATCTGTGTAGCACATGAGCTGGCTTACCAGGAAAGATCTTAACCTGCGTCTGTCTGGAGTGGCAGAATCATGGCGACTGCTTGATTCGGCTTCTTTCTCCCAGCATTCTGTTCTGTCTACTCCGCCTACCTAATTTTCTGTCCTATCAGGCCAAGCAGTTTTCTTTATTAGTTAACCAATGAAAGCAACAGATAAGATACAAGACCACCTCCATCACACCTCTCTCTCTGTTTAGGAAAGAACAAGTCTCCTATGAATATCAACAAAACAAGGCATTTCAAGTTGCAGTAAGACTAAGCACCTCCCATGTATTAAATCTGGACAAGGGGACCTGGTATGGGGAGTAGTAGGGTACAAAAGCCAGTAAAAGAGCCAGAGATAGCCCCTGTTCCCACTGTTAGGAGTCTCACAAAAAGATCAAGGTATACGATTGTAACAAATATGCAGAAAGCCTAGGGCAGTTCCATCCAGGCTCCCTGGTTGTCAGCTCAGCCTCTGTGAGCCCCTGTGAGCCCAGGTTAGATGATTCTGTGGGTTTGCTTGTGGTGTCCTCGACCCCTCTGGCTCCTCCAATCTTTTCTCCCCCGCTTCTGCAGGAGCCCTTGAACTCCACCCAGTGTTTAGCTGTGGATCTGCATCTGTTTCCATCAGCTTAGCTTGTTCTCTTATATGCACCAGGACTACCTGCCCAGGGACAGCACTGCCCAGGGACAGCACTGCCCACAGTGTCTGGACTCTTCCACAACACAGGCCAATCTGAGGGTGACATTCATTCTCTCTCTCTCTCTCTCTCTCTCTCCTTTTCTTTTGACATTTTATTAAGGAGGCTCCCTCTTTTCAGATGACTACAACCTGTGTGGAATTGACAAAAGGGTGAAAGGACTGTTAAATCTATAAAGATAGCATTAGCAGCGATTTAGTTCAAACAAGGTACAGAAGACAACCTGGAGCCAGGCAATTAACAGAGCCAGGGGAGCCCACAGGCAGCAGCAAAGGTCGTGACAGGACATCATCTAAGTCCCAGAAGCAGAGGAGAGAGACATGCTGCAGAAGAACAGGCAGAGTAACTGCTGGAAGGTTGAGTATCACGAGAGGGCAGGTGGTGCAGTTGCAAAGGCCAACAGCGAAGGGGAGAAATTGCTATGTTGTTCACGGATACAGAAAGTCCATTGGAAAGAACCCAGCATCAATTCTGGACAAAGTTTTCTGTAAATTCTGTGTGTTCCCCGCTGGACCAAGAGCATATACAAAAGCCTGAAGTCTGTTCTCTGCCTAAGGGTGAATGCCTGGCTACCTTCCCTGAATTAGGGGCACCTTACATATCTTCATTCAACCTTTTATGGAAATCATAGTGAGCTTATTGGGAAAAAAGAAATAAAACTCCCTATTTAGAGGCAATATAATCAGCCTTGTTAAAATCTTAAGGATATATACACATACACATGTGTATACTTTTTCAAGACATACCTCTTGAAAAAAATATTTACTCTTCTCTCTCTGTTCTCTGTTTCCATTTGTTTTGATTTCATTTAAAAATTGAGACAGAAATCTTTAATAAATAAATAAATAAATAAAAATAAAAATTGAGAGGTTCATACATGAGTATAAATTTCTAATCTTTCTATGCCCCAACCCTAAAATATTATGACATCTTCTTCTATAATTAGAATTCACAAATGGGTATACACAAACACACACACACACACACTAGTTTCATCCCCAGTTCACCCATGACAGCCTTCCCTGCTCCCCTCCTCCCATTTCCTGCTCAGACCATGCACTAGGATTTCCTTGGTACCCCAACAAGAGCTTCCAACGTTCAGGAACTACCCCTGGTTATGAAAATGCCTAGTAAGTCAGTTTTCTCTAGTGACCTTGAGAATCACTGTGGCTTGTAATGCTCAAGGTTCCCAACTCCACAAACAGTGATCTGAGGCAGATCAATTCTGAAACACAACCCATTCCTCCTCATGTCCAAAAGTCTGAGCAGCAGTGATCAGTTCTTCACTTTTCCTTGCTTCATCAGCATCATTACTCGGGAGGAAAAACCAACGTTAACTCCAGTTTATGATGAGAGCCCCAGAAATAGGCCATATACACCAGGCACATACTTTCCATGTCTCAGGAGTTCTACCTGAAAAGCCCAAAGGTGCATTTTGATTTCCTGGCTATATTAGAAGGTTTCTTCAATGATAACTTTGGCCTAAGATATTTGTGTCTCAGTTAAGACAAAGATATGAAGGGAAGATCTCCATGGAAAGTATATTCTTGAATGCTCTAAAATTTCCACTTCATTGTAGTAGTATATTATCCTTAAAAAGTGATCAGCTGGACTCACTCTCTGGAAGCATTCTCCTGTGCCATCTTCCTCACCTGTGCACATTTACAGTTGGTGACCCATGTCCTATCCTAAATAATGACAAGCAAAATAGAAAAAGTCCATCCTCAACATTAACACTTTGTTTTACTTCAAAAGTGGCCAAATACTGTTTGAATGACACCATTGCCAGGCAGTGAGGACCCCTTATCTTCTGTCCAAGCCTGAATGGGTAGTTTGGGAACAATGAGGTCCACATACCTTCCAGCAGGTCTCTGGCCAGACCAGGTTCTGCCCCTGTGGACCGAACAAAGTCTGACAGGACTGCGTCCATATCAAGCGTCATAGGATCATGTAGAAGTGCTGCCCAGCACTCAGCCGAGGGCGGGTTTGGAAGCAGGCTAGAGACCATCCATCTGCAGGAGACAAGAGAAGGGCATCTCACCATGCAATGGACCAGAGGGAATGTGCATGCACACACATGCATGCACACATGAGTGCACGTGCGCCTGTGTGGGCACACACACACACACACACACACACACACACACACACACACACGAGTCCCAGAAGCCAGAAGAAATCCCTACCACCTCCGTTATATAGTTCTGAATTCGTTTTTGAATATTTCCCTTCCTTTACACGCAAGCTGTTACATCATTAAAGCCAACCTAAGGCATCAATCCTCTGCAGCCCTGTGAGATGGGGCACTGGGATCTGTGCTGTGTCTTCCAACACGCTGAAGTCTAATCTATCGGCTCTTAAGGAGACTCCCAGTTCAGTCCTGGCTGACTGGAACTCCACACTTACTCACGATGACTGCTAAAACATCTGCTGCCTCCCTGAGTTTCCACTTTCACAATGACAACCCCACCGTGTTCACAGGATGTCAGATGTCCTGAAGAGAACAGCTGCAGGCCGAGGGACAAGATGAGTGCCTGAAACAGCTGGTGAGTTTGTCACCTGGAGAAACCAGTTTCGGAGCCACTTGTATTCTTGGTGAAGGGTGATAAGAAATAGATGCAGCTAGCATCATGTAGATGACTGGTCAAATGCGGCCCTCTATCTGTTTTACACATAAAATGTTATTGGAAGTCAGTCACCAGCACATGAATGAGTTGAGTAGCAGAGACCATGAAGTCCACAGAATTAAAGAAATCACCACGTGGGCCTTTATGGGAAGTTCACTGATGCCAGCACAGATGCTGCACAATCTTATACCATCAAGTACGTGGTTAATTTCACACACTGCATGATGTTGCTGATGAATACAATTTGCTCCTTCTTCTCTGATAATCAGAGGATGGGAGTTCTCAGTGAGCAGATTTTGTATCTTTGGAGCAAGGCACGCTGGCCTTATTTGGCTGGCTATGACAGGGTGTTAACTGCTGTGGGAAGGGAAGGTAAAAATCCCCAATGCCAGGATGTGGGGACCGAGGTCTCAGGCCATAATTTCAGAGCTAGTCATTTGTGATGCCCTATCTGCATCTGGCTCCTACTCTGGAGTAAGATTTGGTTGGTGTGGCTAGAAACGAAGAAATGGTTTGACCTGATGTATGTGGCACCAGTTAGGAGACTCCTTCCTCCGCCTCAAGCACCGCAGCTTCAGCCTCAAGAGTCTCCTCTTCTGTCACTGCCACCTGGGGACAAACGAGAGCACAAGGGCATGTTATCTCCTCTCCTGAGCTTTACTCTTCAACAAAAGCAGCTGCATTTAAGGTAGGGAAGAGTTGCTGGAGGTAGGGCCTTTGCTTCCTGGCTGCCATAGGCGCTTCCTGGCCAGCTGATCACCAGCTCAACGTGGAGGCTGGCAAGAGAGGATGGTCTCAACTTCCTCTTGGAAAGCATCTGGGATCATAATCATGGGGCAGACTCATTCTAAACCTTGCTATTAACTTCGGGGTCAATACATTTAATCTGAGCTACCATTTCAACCACACAGTTCAGTGACATTAGCTGCAGCGAATGTCCCTTTCACCTCCAGAACATTTTGTCTTTCTAAATGGAAACTGGCCCCACTAGACACTGGATCCCTATTGCTATTCCCCTTAGAACCTGGAAACCTCCATTTTACTGCCTGCTTCTATGAATGAGACTATAGACTCTTATAAGTAAAATTTCACAGTATTTATCTTATTATGATTAGCTATTTCACTTAGCATAAGTTCATCAAAGTTCATGGAAATTGTAGACTGTCAGAATTTGAAAGTGATTGTTGATGGAACACTATGAACTTCAGTTGCAAGACTTGGAGGAACTGAGTTGGATCTGACCTGCCAGCCTGTTTCTTGAGGATTAGTTTGCACAGTACAGGAAGGTGATACGTAAAAAGGAAAAGAAAAAAATAGTCATACCCAGCTACGATGCCTATGAATGCCAACAATGACCAGCACATTATGATATCCCTAAAGGTGCAATATAGATAATTTGTATTGGTATGGATCTTGGTTTATTGATACGAATTTAAAGTCAATTTTGTTATATGTATATGTATTTCTGACCTTGATTAAGGTATTGTGTTTGTGTAGCTCGTTTAAAAGTGTAATATATAATTTAAAAATATAGGTGAATAGATAATCATCTATAATAGTCAAGTTTGTAGTCATGTTAGTTTTCTAGATATATAGAGATATATTTCAGTTAGTTAGGTATTCTTCAAATATTTCAGAGACCTTCAGAATATGGCATTTAAAATGTTTAAAAAATTTAGGACTTTTCATTACAGTGAGACACATATGCTCCTGGCAGCACCAATCTACTTCAAGAGGAAGATGGGCATTGAAGAGGCTCCTTTTGGAGTTTGTTAGATGAACTGGACATGCAGGATCCACAAAGAAATGACTGCTGAACTTGCCTAAAGGTGAGATGATCCTTCAGGGTTCCTGCTTCATGAAGGAGTCTGTGAGACATTCTGCAGGATACAGAAAAAAGTGACTGAACTGTCTTTGAAACTTCCTGCTTTATTGAAAAGTCTGCTGAATACTATGGGCCTGTAGGCTGAAGATGGATGCCCCAATGGTACAGAAAAACTTTGGGTGACTGTCCAGGCAGCTTGAAGTCTCTGTCAATTCTAGAGTTTTGAAAGTTGCTTACAATGTACTTCCTGTTTATCTAGGTAATATTATATCCTTCTGGAGTTGAAAAATTTATAGTTATAGTTTTCCTTAGTTATGTTAAAGTTAAAGCCTTCCTTTTTGTTTAAACAGAAAAGGAGAAATGGTGTAGGAGGTCCTTCTGTCTATGTGTTGCTTTCATTGGTTAATAAAGGACTGCTTTGGGACTATAGCAGAGCTGTGGGGGAACAGAGCTAGGCAGGGAAAACTAAATGAAATTCTGGAAGGAAGAAGGCAGAGTCCAGGAATGCCATAGATCTGCCGCCATCAGAGCCAGACATGCTGAAACTTTGCTGGTAGGCATCACCTCGTCGTGATATACAGATTAATAGAAATTGGTTAAATTAATATGTAAGAGTTAGCCAACAAGAAGCTAGAGCTAATGGTTCAAGCAATGATTTAATTAATACAATTTCTGTGTGGTTATTTCGGTTCTGGGAAGCCAGGACAAACAAGCAGGCTCTCCTGCAATGGTGCAATGGTGGCACTTACATCTTGATGGTAATTAGCAGCTGTATAGTTGACTTATGACCATTGTTATGACTACCTTGTTATAACCATATTGTTATGACTACCTTGTTATTACCACATTGTTATGACTACCTTGTTATGACCACCTTGCAACCATATCTTTGTTTTAAGAGGTTGCCATGGCCAACTTGCTATAGGTTCTGTTTCTATAACCCTACCTATTTGCCTTCCAATCTCCCCCCCCCCCCATTTTGAAACCCTCTATTCCTGAATTATAAAAACCTTTCTTACCCATGTACAACGCAGATCTCTTGAACTACCTTTATGGAGAGACAGCCTTGTACATGAATATAAAAGTTTTGATTAATTACTTGCTTTTAATTTTAATTAAAGGCATGAAGGGCTAGGGCAGCACAGGTCTGGAGTGCAGCCTAGTCTCAGGGTCAGGAAAAGGCCCTGGGTAGAGCGCAGGCTGGGGGCTAGTGACTTACCATGTGTGAACCTCCACTGTGTCCTAACTCCCTGATTTGGGCAGTGAATAACCAGTGGAATCCTGTTCTCTTGATTTGAAAAATGATGCTAAGAACAGCCCTGCCTCTCAAAATAGCTGAAAGGATGAACGAAAATGATGTTTCATGAACACACTCCATTGTCACCATTAGTGACATAGATTTGAAACACACAGCTGTCTAGTATTGAGGATCTTTGCTCTATCTCTTATATATGCACAAATCCTTACTATGAAGAATAACGTACCAAAAAGTGGCACACATGCTTCAATCCATTCTACCCTGCAATGGAGAAGCCCATTCTGGTGAGAGGCTCACAGATAACATTGGGGATATATACGGCACCTCAACTCAGATGCCAGCATTCCTCTGTCCAGACCATCTGCCTCCTTCATCCCTGTGACTTGAGACCAGTTCAGTGACACTGGCTTATGTGTATGTCACATTAGTGGGATAAGGCATTCGTGGGTCTTAGTTCAGAGGAAAATTGGGAAAGCCTTGGAATGAAAGGGTATGAGGTTAACAAAGTGTCCAATGTACACAATCAATCTTAAAGCAAGTTTCCATGTGCTACAGCTAGGGACACATATTGATCTTTGAGTAATTGTGGCTGCAACAATGCAATGCATCCACAAAACTTACATTAAAAGGCCTGGGTGAGGAGGGAGGCGAGACAGCAAGGCAGAAGGAACAGGCAAAGAGCCTGGGGAGATGACTGAGCAAAGTCAGGGCTGCGTGACAATGAAACAAAAGTGGCTATAGCAATATCTGGTTCCCAGGATGCAGGTTTTCCAACTTGGCCACTTGGCCTTTTTCATCTTTTCTTTGGTAAAGTTCATTTTCTAAAACGACTGGAAGCAGGGACTGCAGAGAGCTCTACAAACAAAGACGGGCAGCTCCAAGGTTTGGAAGGAGGCACATGTGTGCACTCTGAGCCCCTTTCACCTGTACAGCAAATGCAGACAGGATGGAGAGAGGCAGAGCTTTTGATCCATGGACCGCTGGTTCTGTGCCATGCCAGCTCTTAGAACACAGAACAGGGTGGATTAACAACAAATTGGGGCACTAAAATTGTAAATAGCTGGGTGGTAGTGGCACACACCTTTAATCCCAGCAGTTGGGAGGCAGGAGCAGGAGAACCTCTGTGAGTTTGAGGCCAGCCTGGCCTACAGAGCAAGTTCCAGGACAGTCAAGACCACACAGAGAAACTGTGTCTTGGAAAACCAGAAAGAATATGTCAAAGGCTTTTCAATGCTAAAATTCCTGGACTATTGTGTCCCTTCCTTCCCTCACTACCCCTTGTCCTTTCTCCTCCTCCTCTTCCTCATTTGGTGGTTTATTTCTGAGTCTGATTTATTACTTTTTTATGTTCTTTCTCTTTCTTTTGGTTAGATTTTGGCTAAGATTTGTCAATGATACTTAAAACCTTTCAAATAACTCCTTAGTAGATTCTATGTGTTGTTCACAAAGTCTCAGGATGCACCCTAGGCTGCTTTTCAACTTGGTCTTCTCCTGTTGAAACCTCCTGAGCACTAGCAAGTGTGGGAACTACAGGTCTAGTTAGATTCCTATACTTTTGAACTTAGATAGAAAACATTGATATATATACTTTTAAAGTATTTTTCCTGGAACCAGTGAGATGGTTCAGCGGGTCAAGGTGCATGCAGCCAAAACTGACAACTTGAGTTTGGTCCCTGGGAATCACATGGTATAAGGAGGGAAATGACTCCCTTCCCCCCCCACACACTATTCCTCTGACCCCTACTCCTCTGACCTCCCCACATATATCTCATAGAGCATATATGCCCACATAAATATATGCACACACACAAACACATACTAAATGTAAGTAAGATATTTTTCAATGAAAAATTAAGTATGTATAAAAATAGACAAAATAATACATGATAATTGTCTTTCTGTGTCTGGGCTCCCTCACTCAAGATAATGTTTTCTAACACTATCCCGAGTGAGGTAACACAGACCCAAAAAGATGAACATGGGATGTACTCACTCATAATTGGTTTCTAGCCACAAATAAAGGTCACGGAGTGTATACCTGGTGAACCTAAAGAAGCTAAACAAGAAGGTGAACCCAAGAAAAAACATATAGTTATCCTCTTGGCTAAGGGAAGTAGACAAAATTGCCGGGGAGAAAATTGAGACCTTGGAGGTGGGGTG